CAGGTAGGGTCCGTATGGTATATAGAGTATACTGTTTGGAAATCTCATTGTAAACACCTTATTAAATCCAACCTAGACATTATCCCCATAAATAGGTCAATCAATATAACGACTTGAAATCACTGAAAAATCTTAATTATAGGTTCATAATAACGACTATGACTATAATTAAAAATTACACTTAAATAAAATAAGCGTAGCTTAACTTACAAAATAATCTAGTGAAAATTAGGAAATTAAACAGACAGAATCTCGATCGGGGAGCTTCTATTCTTCGACTATCTGACACCGAAGGGCCCTTCTATAGTGACCGGGAACTAGGGAGTATATAAAATAAGGAATAGAAATGATCTCTATAGGATTCGAAGGAAGGATGTGAGAAAAATGAGTTGGAATCGAAAGTTTATATAGGCTTCTTTGGGGTACGTGTCGTGCACCCTGTCCCCTGCATCATGCATCTGGTCGACCATGGTAACGTGTCGCTCCATAGGTGGTGCACCGTGTCGCAATCTCGTGGGTTGTCGATACGCGCCACACATCTTGTCTATGTGCGCAACTGCGCACGAATGTTTATAATATCTTATGATATGTGCATATTTAATCATATACTTCGTATAATATATAAATACTTTTTAGCTATTTTGTCTCGATTTCTGAACAAAAGGTACTTAATTATGTTAAAATTACATTTTCATCTTTAAAGACATGCTCGAGTGAAGAAGGAAGCGGGACTAGCAAACTGGAAGCTTGGAAATTGAAGTTTGAAGAAAGAAAGCTTAAAAGAAGAAAAACCCGGCAATTCGGCCATCAACTCGACGAGTAGAGTGGAAGATTCACGATTCAATAATGCCTTGTCGTACATGCATTTTAAGTGAAAAACCCTTGGTGTTGGGTCTAAAAACTCGACGAGTTGGTGTGTAATTTTGGATTATCTATATAAATCGTTTATTCCTGAAACCCTAAGATAGGTTGGAGACTTTTAGCGACTAATTAATGATCAGAAAGGTTCTTGGAGCTCTGGTTTTTGAGAATTCAACATAGAGATCAATTTGGAAGAGATCAAAGGCAATAAACATTACTCTTTTCTTAATCTTTTGCATAAACCATGTTTAAATCATTAGATTTTGATTTTCGGATGTTATCTGTAATAGATATGAGTTAAAAGCTTCTTACTTCTGTTTAGACTAGATAAACTTATAAATATGGTTTTATTGAATGGCTTGGATTAAATTGATTTGGTGAATTGTCTTGTTAAGCTTGTTAAAGACCCTTATGTCTTAATGATAATTATTATCTATTAATAATTGCTTGAATCATATCGTTTTGTGAAATCAATATTGTATGCCTAGTATTAATGAATATGAACCCAGGGTTAACTAGAAAATAAATAAATTAATGTGTAAGCGTATGTGATGAACAACCACATATGAGTTGATTGAATTGATAAAATTGATTAACTAATATTACAATCTTACTTGATCTGAACTGAACACTAGGAAACTTTTTGGTTTAATCAATTGGTCACTGTTTGAATTAACATGTTTGCTAAAAGATTAGTAACAGTGAACATGAACCAAATCACACTAGAAATCGGTAGCCAATGATATATTAATCCATTGCACTTGCCATAAAATCAACCATTGGGATAAGTGAATCGAATATGAACAAAAGTCTCTTTTAACATTGAATCTAGTTATCTTCTATTCTCTTTAGTTGTTAATTGTCTTTGTTTGAGTGTTATTTGCCTACTTAAGTTTCTAGTCTTGCAAAGAGAAAACCCTCTTTTATTACTTGTTTTTATTTAGGTAATTCTATTAGTTATTTTTAATTGTTACCGTTCCCTATGTTCGATACCCTACTTGCTTGAACTATATTGTTAATCGATAAGTACATTGCATTTCGAGTGTTTAATTTGTGTTTAAAATTGTAGGATAAATGTAACACTTAGTTATTTCGGGTCAATAAAAGTCAAACCATAAGTCAATTATGCCAACAAAAGTCAAATAGTTAAAATTAAATCATGGAAATTCATATTGCTTTTGAGGTTTTCGGTTTTAGGAATCCAAAAATCAACAATCACATGCTAACTGAAATCACCATTTGTGGATTAATTAGGACCGAAATCAATGCCTTGGCTGAGAACACCCTGTGAACGAGAACCCACTAAACCGAAATCTTATCTGGACCAAGAACATGCAAGGCCGAGATCCTTTGGACCGAAATCGAGGTGACTTCGATTGGAGCCTTAGACCGAAATCAAGGAGATTTCGATGAGGATATGCCGAAATCATCAGTTGAAAACGGTTGCACTTTTCCCAAAGTGATAAATTACATTTACAATGCATATATCACATCACCTTTACCCCATACATACATACATACATACATACATACATACATACATACATACATATATATATATATATATATATATATATATATATATAATAGGCTTAGACAGTTAAAGTCTGTTAAAAATTATAACTTTCTCGTCCGACGTCCGTTCTCGACAATCATTATATCGATTGGCTCCTATTAACGAGATCTTCTATTTTCGTTTAGATTGTTTCGAGTAAAAATCAACTGATCTAAAATTCGATTTCTGAGTTGTATATTGTTACGTTGAATTTTAGAAAAATCATAACTTCCTTTAATAAAGTCAAATTTTGACGTTCTCTATATGTACACTCTTTGTTTAATGACTACTACGACTTTCGTTTAGATCACCGAGGCTAAAAAGTAATCTATCAAAAAATTATTTTTTACGATACCCAGAGTCGTACCGATTTAATCGCGAAAATCCGAAGAAACATAACTTCTTCATATAAAGTCAGATTTCAGCGTCCTTTATATGTGTGGAATCCTTGTCACAAAACAAATATTATAACTTGGTTAACATTATTCATCCTAAATAATCTCCTATTTAAAAGTCATTATTATGCCATATAATAACTTAGTTGCCTAGTCAGAATTTGCAGGTGTTATAGTTTTTCACAAAGAATATTTGCACAATCCTACTGCATGTGATACTGAGGGATTGTATTTGGCACATGAAGATAAACATGAATTTCCACGAATTATCGATAACATTGATTGTACGCATTGGTCGTGGGAAAACTGTCTAACTGTATGACGCGATCAATTTACCCCAGATAATATAGGTTAGTCGACTATGATGTTGGAAGTTGTTTCCTCTCTGGATTTATGGATATGACATTCGTTCTTTGGAGTTGTAGGGTCTAACAATGACTGTAATGTTCTTGGCCAGTCCCCTATTTTCAACAATATATAGACCTGGAAAGCACTTGATATGTCCTTCACTATGAACGAGCATCCATACAAACATGGTTACTACCTTTGTGATGACATACGCGGTACCTCAAACTGAAAAAGCAAAGTTGTTGACAAAAAGACAAGAATATGCTAGAGATATATAGAGGGCATTTGAAATCCTCAAACAGACATGACATAGTGAAATATGTTGCACAACTCTGCGATATGGAAAAGTTAAAATGAATAATGCATGCATTTATTATAATGTATAATATGATTATTAAACATGAATGTATAGTGATTTGCATGTATGATGCGAACGACATAGGTAACCCAACTTAAGAGTTCATAATCGGTTCAACTGAATTTTTAGCAAAAGTAATTGAAATTCAAAACACCGAAACTTATTTCAATCTTTGAGAAGATCTAGTGAAACATATGTACCAATACAACATGAACAAAGAATAGTAATATCTTTGAATTATGTTTTTATGAAACTTTTATTTTATGTAATTTTAGGATTATTTTTGAATGAAGGTAAAACAATCTGACAGAGCATCTGTACCAAAACACATACGTGACATATCATTTTATTCTCTATAATATTTCTTCTATTATTCTCAATACACTATATGTAAAACATCTTTCTGAAGCCTCTCAACCCTCTCAACACTCTCAATTTTGATTAAAAAATATTATACTATTTACTAAAACAATAATTGAAATGGTTTAATGATAATTAAAATCCTAAAACGAGAATTTGAAATCTTAAAATGATAATTAAAATCCAAATGTATAAGTACTTAAACATGTGGGAGATGAAAAGAGTTGTGAGTTGGAAATTGTCTTAAGCCCGCTCAACCTAACCCATTGGGGCATAACCACGATAGCGTCAGGCCTGCTGACCCAAACAGTTTTTCTAACCATAATCAACCGGCTCCGTGCACCTTTAGTACTTCAAAATACTCAAAGAAAGAAGAAAACATATCCATCGAAACAGACCACATCAACCTAGTCCATCATAATTGGTCTCCCATTCGTTATTATAATAAAAAAATAATAATAATAATAATAAATAAAAAATCCTTATAATCTAAGCGATAGAGCAACATTAAAGATCGGATCCAATGATTCTTTAATAATGTGATTTTTTTAATCGTTCTCCAATTGGAATCGAAACAAATCAGATATTTGGGGCTTATGCCCACCTCTACAACACCACCACTCATCATGTACAAATTACCAAGTCGAAATTTATCTTACTTAGCCTACCAACAAGAGATGGAAAAAATACTCAGTAACCATCGAAGAATCCACCCAAACCCGAATTGACCGGGGAGGGAGATACCCCTCGGTCCTGACCACAATACTTATATAATCTATAAATAATAATCTAAACTGTATATGTCCAATTTTCTTTAAAAAAAAGATCGGACTCCAAACAAAAGCTCACCAATATAGGCATTTAAGGGCAGTTCCTAAGCCCTTAGAGTTTGATCGAATTCATATGAATCTACCCAAGTGACAACTTTTTGAAAAACGAACACAACGTATGCAACAAATCTCCAAATGACTCATTGCAGAGTAAACTTCCAAATCTTTCCAACCATATACTATACAAAGTAAATCAAAATACAAACAATTGATCGTCAGTTTTTCCAACAAACCATCAAGTTGAAGAATTTTGATGACGACATGCTCGCATTTTGTAATTTGTACAAACTCACTCGGGATTAACTTTTTTTTCACACATTTTTATAGAACAAAACACACATTTACCACATTATAAAAGTAACAACACACTTTTGCCTTTTTACGGATATATGTACTTTGACTTTGCCCATATACCATTAAATCCAAACAAACACACACACCTTGACCATTCTTTCAGAACGGATTTGACCTAAACAGAACTCGTCCCATATACATATACATGCCACTTTAACCAAACAAGGCGTAGACCAAGTCTCTAGCTAACCTATTGTGTAATTCATACTAATATCTTAATAAGCTCTCCATATCATATATGCTTTCTTGTCTTGCTCATTTTATATACTAAATATTAAGCAACCATGAGATTGCCCACACTGCTTGCTAACACAGTGCCCAAAATGAGCCCAATCCACACTGGAATTAAAACTCATGTACCCCTTTCACTATCAAAGGTGCATGATAAATCCATATTGACAACAAAAGACACAAAAAAGACAAAAGGGAAAGGGTATTATAGTAAAACAATGAAACCGTATAGCATCCCTCAAGGTCAAACCACAATTCCAGTGTGCCCATTAAGGAAAGATTCTGCATATAAAAGATCACAAACACATTACTTAATTTTGCTATAAATATAAACAAGAAATATATATAATAAAGTCAGTGATTAATTACTTGAATATGATTGGCCATGTCGGGAGCTTTCTCAATTGTGGTAGTAACACTGAAACAAAAGGCTTGTACAAAGACGTCACACAACAACCATACATCAATCAAATCAAACAAATGTTTTCAGAACTATGTGCACAGATCGACAGAAATCAAAAGTATGAACAATCAAACCAAAAAAAAAAAAGATTTACAGAAGCTAAAACCCGAGAGTTGATTTTTGGATATGTTTAGTTGTTGGCCTGAAAAGGAAGAAAGATGTGATTTGACCTGTATTAAGTGAGCTTTGGGCTTTTATACATATAGCTTCTGAATCATGAACAATGAACAATGAACATGAACCCATTCAATTTACATTCATAGTGAATAGTGATAGCTTCTTCAGCAAGGCACAAAAGCTGCTGAATTGGCGGTATATGTGAAATGACAATACACACCCTCACGAGTTTACTTAGCGGAAGAAATACGGCGTAAGGAGGAAATCCAACTGCTGGAAGGACCTGTTGTTGTAGTAGTTGTAGTAGTGTCTGGAATCGGATGATGATTAGTAGTGTTGTTGGAGTCTGATGGTTTTGTTGTGTATCTTTTTGGGCCAGATGATGATGGTGGCATTTGCGAATGACTCAACATCTGCCACGTCAGCATTATATACAGTTACTTTAGTTTAAATATATATATATATCAAAAAGTTTAAAAAAAAGATGGTTTACGTTTCTTTCAGGAGGATTTTCGGGAGTCATTCGGTTGATCGGTGATTTTATTTGCATGCGGATGCCGGGACTGGCGGCTGTGTTTGACCTCATACGGTCTGTTAATTCAGCTGAATAAGTAGCATTGTTGCTTCCAGTAACTGAAAGGAACACACACACACACATACACACATGTTAGTTTGATGAATATTATCTTAAATTTTTTTTTTCTTATATATAATATTTGATCTCTGACCTTGATGCTTTTCCATATCTTTTCGAATGGCCCCACTGCTGCTTTCTCCATGACCTTGCTGTAAAAGATTAATAGTTTTTATTAGAAAAATTAATGAATGAAGAGAGAAACTAGATTGAAAGAGGACTAACCAATCCATGTGGTTGAGTTTTATTCTTTTGTGACTGTTGGTATTTAAGAATTGTCCAATCAAAGATATAATCAAATTCAAATCCTGTAACAGATATATAAAAATATTATTTGCATGAAATAGCAACCTACTTTCACTGTTATAACTTTAATAAGAAATGAAAAGTAGCTTTTGATGAATTTCACTTGATATAAAATTGGTGTTTTTTTATTGCAAATTTATATTAAACTTACAAATTGCAACAAAAATACCTTCACGAGTGAATAATTCTCGGAATAAACGTTTGAGAAATCCATAATCAGGGCGTTGATCGAAGGTCAAGGAGTGGCAATAATGGAAGTATGAAGCAAATTCCACAGGGTGAGACTTGCATAGAACCTTAATGAATTGAAATTGTAAGGCATAATAGAAAAAAAAAAAAAAAAAAAAAAAAAAAATCAAGATTTAAACTCAATTAGATAAATCACATGGTATATTGGCATGTATTCACCTCAATTGGAGTTGACAATTTCTTCTCACATATTTTGTCATACTTCTGCTTCTTTGTGGCAGCTTTTAGACCCTGCCATGGAAGGCTAGACACAAAGTTTATGGTAACAAAATTAACATTGAAGGAATTATAAAACTTAAAAAAAAAAAAATACATCACAGCAAAATTGGGTACCTTCCTCTAAGAAAATATAGAAGTACATATCCAAGAGACTCTAAATCATCACGTCGACTTTGCTCTACAAAAGAGATGACAAAAATGAATTTTAAGTTTTCTCCTATATTTTAGGGTGATAATATCATTCATTCAAGTTCAGTGAAACCTATTCTTAGTTCTTACCAATTCCAAGATGAGTATTGCAACTTGCATAACGTGCTGTTCCAGTTAAATTTTTGTTCTCCCTGAAAAAATAGGTAGCAGAATGTATAAAACCATTAAATATGTGATTTGAAATCATGCAAGAGAAGGGATAATGGGATATTCAAATTTAGGAAGTCCATATATGCTGAATTGAAAGGTATACCTGTAAGGAATGTGTCGATGTGTTGTTGCATCACGATATCTTTTTGCAAGCCCAAAATCGATAATATAAACCTAATGGATAAAATGAAAGCATGTGTGATAATGACATCATTGCAAAATGACTTGGTGATTTGTAAGAAGTAGAAAAGTAAGGCCTTTATTATTACCTGGTTTGCTTTTCGACCAAGACCCATGAGAAAATTATCAGGCTTGATATCACGATGCAAAAACCCTTTAGAGTGTACATACTCGATTCTTGTAATCTACACACACAGATAGATTAGCTTCTAAAATCTCAATTGATCTAGTGAAGAACAAACAGATAATGACTTAACAGAAACTATGAGGTTCAAAACCTAGAAGTTGATGTCTATAGAATGGAGGTATAGTGTTTGAATAGGGTGTAAGATGCATAGTTACCATTTGATCAGCCAACATTAAGACTGTCTTTAATTGAAATTTCCTCCCACAATAGACAAATAGGTCCTCAAGACTTGGTCCAAGCAAATCGAGTACCAAAATGTTATCTTCTCCATCTACACCAGACCATTTTATGGCAGGTATACCACCTACAAGTGAAAACAACCATTGAAAATTGATGTAATGATATATATCATTTCTAAATAGAAGACACGAAAGGGAACGAAAACATGTATATCTTTGTTATGATAATGCTATACGTACTTCCTCCCTGAAGAATATTGTATAACTTGGCTTCATATAGAAGTTGAGGATGTTTTGTCTTATTGTTCTCCTGCAGTGTCAGCAAAAAAATATCACAACTGAGCTCATGTTACACTAAATGACTAAAATAAGCAATGCATGTACAAAACTATGAGTTCTGATGGATTACTTTCACTTAATTCAGTCTCTGTAAACTTAACCTTAACCTTAAGCAAAAGTAAATAAACAATATAAAGGTAGTACAGCATAGACAGCCAAAGGAAGTGAGGAACATGCTCTGATTACTTAACATCATAGATAGAGTCATAGAGCAGACAACTTTTATTGCAGAAACAGCAATGGCATGCTAAGTAGCTGGAATACCATTGCAAAAAATCTGGATTCAAGCTAAATCAGTTCATAATCGGACTAAAACCTGCTACAATTCGGATCATAAACCTCAAATTCAATGCTCCCTAACCCTAGTGAAACAAATTCACACCGATTGCCTTCAGATTCAGCAATTGGAAGCAATATTCAACATAATAACTAGTTAACTACAACTATCTCATATGTTGTCCTATAAACTGATACGAGACCTCACAGCAGCTGACCTAGTTCAATCGCACTAAAACCAATCTAAAAAGTCATTCTTCAAACATAATAGTGAGTTACCAATCAAAAAATGAACAAAAAAAGTAACTGCAATTAATCATGTTCAACACTTACGATCTTCACGGCGACGATTTCAAACGTATCAACATGCGTGGCTGCACAAAAAATCCTTAACTCTCTCAAGTTCAATTTCAACAAAACTTACCGATTTAAGCAAGAACAACAAAAACTCAAAAGTAAAAGTAAAACCTAGATGAATTTCACCGAAGGATCCACTTCCGATCTTCCGACCGAGTTTGTACTTTCCTCCGACTATCCTGTCCATATATGTAGATACACGTTTTCCAGATCAACAACAACAGCTTGACGAAAAATGAAACCGGAGCAAGTCTTCCTCGAAAATTTGAAGGAGATAAAGATGAAAGAATTATTGGAGAGATGAGAGGATTTTGTGTATGTATTTGTTTATTTTATTATTATATTTTGTTATCCAAAAACAGAAACTAGTAAGTGCGGATGGCTTCGTTAACTGTTGGACCGAGGACTTGAGTTGGACAAAACGCGTAGGGGGGGTAAGATGTCATAATATGTTTGTAAGAAGGAGAGATATGATGATAATACAAAATGAAGGGTAAGATTTGATAATACGGTGTAACGGGGTGTCGGTTGCTGGCGAGATGAACAGAAATCATAGGTGTCAATCAACCTTTGAGTTTTGAGGGTATTGAAGTTATATAATAGGAGTAAAATGTAGGGGTGTTATGGTAAAAAATTTGGGTTTCGGGTAATTCGGATAAGAGTAATTCGAGTATTATCTGATTTTAAAAAAAAAAAAGTTAATTTTTTAATGACACCTAAAAATAAATGTAATGAAATAAGTATGTCGTGTTAAACTTTGAAAATTAAGATTTTTTACTTAGTAATATTTGAGATATCAATGAGTCTTTTCAAACTTTTGATCTTGGGTTGATTTTTTTATTTTTATTTTTATTTTTATTATTTTTTTTTTTTTGGAACTTGATCATTGGTTGGGTTGTCAACTTCAATCGTCTCATCTTTTACTTCAATATAGTAATCCATTGGTGACGAATACCAACGAAGAGCGGACGAGGTATGAGGATTTTTTGACGTGGAGAAAATAGAACGGGCCTCAACGAGGGAAATTGGGATTTAAGAATTGGAAGGGACAAATAAACTCATAAAAAGGACATAATTTGTTAAATATATTTCAGGTAATCAAGTATACCCGAAACCTAAACAACTTACCCTTTATCCAACCCGAAAAAAATTCGGGTTACCCACTTACCCGAAAAAATTAACCCGATACCCGATACCTGAAAAAATCGGACAGATAATTCGGGGGTAACGGGTATTTTTGACAGCGTTAGTAAAATGTAAGGGTTAAAAACTTAAATTAGCAACTTTGTTAAAACTTTATGTATCGGACATTAGGTACTTTTTTTTGGGAGTTAGAGGATTTAATGACACAATTGGATCAATTAAGGTTAAAGCGATATTGGATAACTTTTAATTTGATTTTTCTTGTATTAATATTTGAATTTTATTAAAACATAAAAGTTTTAAATATAGGTAGCGGTAAATGACCAACAAATTATATATATATATATATATATATATATATATATATATATATATATATATATATATATATATATATATATATATATATATATATATATATATATATTTCTTCTTGTAGTGCAAAAGAGGTTGGGTGGTAAGAAATTGCATGTCAATATTGAAAAGGAAATAATAGATTGTGTCATTTTTAAATGTGTTAAAAGATAAGTATGTTATTGAAATAAAAAGTTTTACGAAATTCCTTGTCAACAAATGACATGTTAAGGATAAAAAAATAGTCAAAACAACTGGCGATCACGATAATTAGCGGGTTTATTGCAATATATATATATATATATATATATATATATATATATATATATATATATATATATATATATATATATATATATATATTTACTATCTTATAAAACAAATTCCACTATTTCTAAAAATAGACTGAATAAAATAATAATATTTTTTAAGACGTTCAAATCATTAAGCTAATTGTACAACTAATCACTAATAAAATAATATTAAAATTTAAACAAACTCCTATAAATCTTCTCTTTCAAGGTTTTGACCAGATTTTTTTTCATCCAAATAAATACTCAACACCCTATAATTTGGTCATTTCATGATTTTTCTTTATTTTTAATATGACATGTTTCCTAAAACAAACTAATGATTGAATTGAAAATAATCATTCTCCATCGAAAAGAAATTAATTGTCGAAACAAACTATTTGTTGTCCGCCACTTTGCGCGGGTAAACGGCTTGTATATATATATATATATATATATATATATATATATATATATATATATATATATATATAATTTTTTAATGGATCAACATATAAAAGGATTTCTAATAATTAACCTAAAAGTCAGACGGTGAATCAAAAAATTGAAGAAAGAATGATGCACGAATTATTAGAGTATTATGTGTAGATGGTGAGAAATCAAAAAGTTGAAGAAAGAATGGTGCACAAATTATTAGAGCACTATGTGTACGTGACACATGTTGCATGTGTACATCATAATTTCCAACAAAAATACCTAAGAATTTGAAACATTTAAATTATAAATAAAGATCTAACATTGAGGGAACCCACAATTCTTTTCTTTTCCAACTCATTTGTTATATCATTTTTTCTCTCTCAACATGGAGGGAACCGACAATAATTTTCTCATTCAAATCACTTGTCACATCAGTTTTTCTCTCATCTCACTTCAACCGTTCCTATCTCACAATACATGAAAACTCATCTTTCTCATCATTCCCAACCTGTAACAACCGAAAATTTCCAATTCATTATTAAGAAATTAAGGAAAATGGTGTTTACGGATATAGAAATCAAGAATTTGAAAGTACATTGTTATTTGGAAAAAGTCAACATGCTGAACTGACGCCGTGTGGCTTAAAAGATGTGAGGCGTGGTAAAAAATGCATCATGAAGATTCAATAAATGTGTTATGTGTGGGTGACAATTAATGTGACAGGCAAGTAGGACATGTAGCAAGAGGTTAGGGCACGAAGCAGTAACTCATGTGACACATGGGTCACATGTCAACGTGTATCACAACTAGTATAAATACCTTATAACCGTCTTTTGTTGTATGTTTCTCTGACGAGAACTACGAAAACTCGAGCAAGGACTTGCAGCTTAAAGAAGCATGTATTAGCGTTGATATACGAGGAACTGATCACAGAACTAGATAAGGTATTCTATCATCTCGTTATTATGTAATTATAGCTATGTAACGTGGTTATAGAAAGGTTGTTAAAACCTGAGTCGGTTAGTCGAGTTTATAATATGGTGTTATTATGAGCTCAATAGTAAGTTTAACAGTTGAATTCCACGGTATGATTCTTGATCAGAATGACAAGAGTTATAAACCCTAAATTATAGGATGATTAGAAGTGACTGATCGAACTGACGATTTATGTGATAAGCCATTTAATAGATTTAGTATAAGACTTTGATGAGTCTGGTAACAAATGGTTACCATTTTCGGTTAAGGGTCGAATAAATGACCATTATGGTAGACGTGATAGTAAGCTTATACAAGTTTCTAAGGAACATTGTATCCTGATTAAATAGTGTTGGTGATTTTAGTGTCACCTAGAATTTTGTATAATTGGAACATGAATGTGAGCTAAGGGGCTTATCATTTGTGCTCTATATTATATATTTTGGTGAATGCAGAGTGCATGCATATATGAGATTGAATTATAAGTCGGTATGACAGAAAGACGGGGGTCAAAGGGGTCACGCCCCCTTACAGGGTCATAGGGGCAGAGCCCTTAGCAAGGTCCAAGGGGCAGAGCCCTGGCAGAGCCCTTGGTGGTCTTCGGAAATTTGAATTGGTTTCATTATGGAAAAACCAAATTATAATGGGTGATTATGGTAAAATTAACAAGTCGTGTCAGTTTTGGAAACCATTGATTATGCCATTAAATTCAAGATTCTCCTAACTAATTTAGAAGATAACAATCCTGATATGTCATGTATGTATACAACCATCTTTTGAGGCGTAAACATAACCCTTCTCAACTATTCTTCTTCTAAAATGAACTCATAATTCTTTGGCGACATGGCTTGTGTTTCTGTGCCTAGATACACAAGTGTCCTTTTGGATGATCCTGTATTGGATTTCCTATAACCCTATCAGTTCAGAAAGTGAACATACATGATCCATAAGGAATCTTGTTTTCCACTATCACCCTAATATTCCCCAACAAATGGGTTCTGGCAAGGTGATAAGTTGGTAGGTAGCGCAGACTAACTAGCCAGGTGAGAACATGTAGATTTTATGGGTACATAGCAAAATGAATTGTTTATGTGAAAATGTTTGATAATAAGCAATTCTTTTATATGAAAATGTTTTGATGCATGAGTCTTTAATTCACCACACTTATTGAATTGATAAAAGGGGAATATTGGTATTTAAAATTTTGAAATGATAGCATGTCATATTTGTAATGATTTTTATATCAGCATTGCTATTTATTTAGTATATGCTATTTGATATTAATTGATTGCTCATGATGAGTTTTCATTATGTCGTGATATGAATGCATTTATAGTTTTTGCCTTTTTGGTAAAGGTAAAGGATTCAGATCAATCCTTCATAAAATGAAGCGACCACAAGGAATTATTTGTTTAGTTGTGGTTAGTAAGGAGTTGGTTGTGAATCGCTTAGGGATATGAATTCCCTATATTTGCAAAGTTTATGTTTTGGAGTACAAATTCCCATATATGCAAAGACTTATGTGTTTTGGGGCATAGATTCCCCGTATATGCAAACGAATATGTTTTGGGATAAATATTCCCCATTTATGCAAAGTTTATGTTTTGGGGATATAGATTCCTTGTATTTGCAATTTATCCGTGTATCTAATGTTTCTAGGTAATAAGTACTTGTATGTGTGAGTTATGTTTTGAGTAATAAGTCCTCATATGTAGGGTTATGTTTTTTGGACATAGATTTCCCTTATGTATAATTTAATGTAAATTTTATATTATGACTTTCTTGAATTTACATAGTTGCCAGTGTGTTTTAAATATGATTTTGAAAGAATGTTTTGAACTCTGACTATAACGTCCCATTTTTACAACAAAAAAATTCCATTTTTATTAAGGTAAAACCTCCAAATTAGAAATCCATTTAAAAAAACAAACCATTTATTTCGAATTAAAATTATTAAAAAGAATCAGGGTGATATAAATGTCGCGGAATCCTTAATGTTGTTGATGCATGTGTACAGTCTCGCTTTCGTCTTCCTACGATCACCGATAGAACCTTAAACATAAACAACTGGGTAAGCATAAAGCTTAGTGATTTTTCCCAAAATAACCCATGTAACAAACATATGAGCATGCATACCTGGTCCATAATAATTAGATTGGATTACCGTGGCCCAATCAGTCATCAGACTGGAATACCACCATGTGACTGGTCTAATCAGTCGTCAGACTGGAGTACCCTGGGTTTGTTGGCTTGCCACATCAACCCAACCGCTCTTCCCGAGCCCCCGAGCATATGGCTTACATCTTATTCACACCATGTATCTTGTCCTACAACACATA